CGAGTCAGTGGAGATGGACTTTCTCAGAAGAGCATGTCGCATATCAAGGATGGAACACATTAGAAATGAGGAGATCAGGCAAAGAACAAGGCGAATATATACCAGCACCGACAACATCGAATCGAGACAGCTACTATGGTATGGGCACGTAAAAATAATGGGAGGGGAAAGATGGCCAAAAAGGGCAATGGAATATCGTCCCCAAAGTAGAAGGAAAAGAGGAAGACCTACAACTACGTGGTTAGATGGAGTAGACCAGTACATGAGAGACAGAGCTATTAACCAGGAAGAATGGCAAAATGGAGCAATATGAATTTGACCGCATTTTCAAGCTCCAGAAGAGAGCTGTCTTCTGGAGCTTGAAAATGCGGACAACAGTTCTCTTCTGGAGCTTGAAAATGCGGTCAAATTGAGTCGCACAACACGTACCCCAGAATGAAAGGGCATATCTGAGGTGCGACTCAAAAAGTGCATGATAAACAGTTCTAGCCACCGACAAGTTAAGCTCCTTAGAAACATATCTTAATGCAAAACAGGCAGAGCTTAATTTTTTCGACAAACCGTCGATATACATTTCCCATTTCAGAGAATTGACTACAACAAGCCCTAAGAATCTTACAGATTTTACGACGTCAATGGTGGTGTTGTTAAGTACAAAAGGCTGTAGCGAGTTTTTATACGACAAAGCTTTAGTTTTAGAAATGTTGAGACTCAGGAGGTTCGAATCGCACCAAGATTTAATGGTGATTAAGTCATTTTATATAATCCTATGAAGTGCCGTGACGTCCTTGTTGCTCCAAGTTTATGTTAGCAATGACGTTAATAAAAAGAAGAAACAAAATAGGGCCTAGTACTAAGCCTTGTGGTACTCAAGTGGTAGGTACTCACTTTTTTCGTTTGTACTCACTGGTATTTGTGGTGCTGTGTATATTACAAAAGAAAAATAAAATTCATTCTTTTTATTATGTTAAATTAATAACTCCTGAAAACTTTCCAGAATAAAAAATTGCGCGGAAAACTAACAGCAACGTTTCAGCAGTTGTGTTGTATATTACTATTATACGCAGGAAAGCTGAAATAAATCATTTGCTTTTTTATTTTCGAGCTGCCCCGAAAAAAATCCAGGAAGCACATTTCCATTCCTGCAGTGGAAAATTAATGGGAAATTTTGCTATTTTAGAAAACAGCTGTTACATTTTCTATTATTCCTTTCCTCGAAATAATTCACCATGCATACATAACTGCGAATAGAGTGGAACGTAAAAAAATGTAATAATTTTAAAAGTTTTGTTAAAAATTCTCGGTGATAAAGTATGAAATAATAATAAATAGTATATCGGATGTTCCCTCTTATACTATTTATATTCAAAAAATACTTTTACTATTATTATTTCGAACAATAATTAATTCCTAACCTCATAATTAATCCAAATTCTTCTTTCCATCGATCATAACCATTAAAATAATGATATACTCTTTTTGTAATTACAACTGTGCTGTGTATATATTTATCCCCAGCTAAATACCCATTTTCTTTCAACGAAATTTTCCATAGCGGGTATTTAATTTCCCTAATTTTTCTATTATAATAATTGCGTGATCAGGTTTCCAAGTTGCTTGCTTGCGTGTCTTTTATTAAATTAAAACGTCAAAATCTGACAAAACAAGCCTGGTTCCCATTAAGCAATTTCATAAAGGCATAATATTAAAAAATGTGCATCGTAATGAGAGATTTCTGAAGCTTGTAGCTATTTAGGTCTCTTAGGGAGTTTATAAATATATTTAATCCCCCTTCAAGCGTTAAAACTTCTTGCATTATACTGCTGAAAACGCCACACCTCTGGATATAAAACATGAGTCGTTTCAAGAAGAAAACGATCTAAAATATCACAATATTTTGCACTATTAACATAATTCATCCATCAACTACACACAGAGGTGTAGCACCACGCTGAGATATTGTAGAACCACGTTGTCTTCTAGCAAGCCAATAGAATGTGGAGTACCACAAGGCTCAGTACTAGGCCCTATTTTGTTTCTTCTTTTTATTAACGACATTGCTAACATAAACATCAGTGGCAAAATATGTCTTTTTGCGGACGACACTAGCTTCACTTGGAGCAACAAGGACATCGCGGCACTTCATAGGATTATATCAAATGACTTAATCACCATTAAATCTTGGTGCGATTCCCTCCTGAGTCTCAACATTTCTAAAACTAAGGCTTTGTCGTATAAAAACTCGTTGCAGCCTTTTGTACTTGACAACACCACCATTGACGTCGTAAAATCCGTAAAATTCTTAGGGCTTGTTGTGGACAATTCTCTGATATGGGACATACATATCGAAGCTTTGTCGAAAAAATTGAGCTCTGCCTGTTTTGCATTAAGGTCTGTTTCTAAGGAGCTTAACTTGTCAGTGGCTAGAACTGTTTATTATGCACTTTTTTGAGTCGCACCTCAGGTATGCCCTTCCATTCTGGGGTACGTGTTGTGCGGCTCAATTTGACCGCATTTTCAAGCTCCAGAAGAGAGCTGTTCGATATTCACTGGGACTAAACAGCAGAACTCATTGCCGGGGCTTTTTTAGAGAATTAAAAATATTGACTCTTCTTTCCTTATTTATATTTGAATCCGTTTGCCCAATACGTAAACATGTATCAGCTTGTAGCGTTTTTTAAACAACTACCGTCTGAAGAGCAGACGTGGATAAGGTATTTCACTAGAGAGAAAATTAATCAATAATAATAAACAAAAGATATATAGATATTGGGCTCCAGGCATGTACAGAGAAAGAAAACACAGTTGTATAATACTTAAAACTAATGACTATATTTATTCGTGATGAATTCTGATGGTAAATAGCATTGTACAGTTAATATAATTATTATAGTGGTTACTTGTTGAGTAAAACTATATATGTAAATAATATTAAATACGTTCTATGAAAAGACTATAAAGAAAATACAATGCGTGTAACGTTATAGAAAATATAGGAAAAGTAGCATTACTTTATTTAAATTGTTAAATTTATACGGTGTTAAATCAGATGTGTTGCAACCTGTAGATTCTAGAATCTATCTCGTTATTCATCTGTTAGTATAGCGTAATAATAATGTCTATAGAAAGTAATACTATTACAATGCGTGATATTATGAAATCTAAAATCTAAATCACACTTTTACTACTGCATCGACATAAATATCCTTAATAATCTAACCACTAAATATAGTCTGTACGCTATTGTTTAAAATGTACGTTACTGTTTAAGACTGAAAACATTTTAGATGTTAAATGCAAAACTAGAACTTAAATATACACTTAGCTGTTCTTTTATGTAACCCTGCTTCAAACAGTGCAGCGCGAGGAGGTCTAGCATCTCTGTACTGTCTGTCGGCGATCCAGGCTTAGAAATGGGGGTGAAGCAGCACGGGGCTCAAGCCACATCCACGCTGGGGCACTCTATGTGTAAGACAAATCAATCCTACTGGGGACACTTGTCCATGGGACATCCGTCCATAAGATAGTGGCACAAGAGAACACTACTAGGACCTTGAAAAATAGTCCATACCTTGGACACTTGTCCGTAAGACAATGTCCGTCCGTAAGACCCTAAGAACACGAAACTCTTGTTTAAAATCAAACACCGTCTAATAAACAAAATGAACCTACCTCGAAATACTTCCGAGGGCTCAATAAATAATAAACAATCTGTCCTTTCTTCCAAATGACATTCTGGAGGACAAAAGCAAAGGGACGCCAACGTGTCAGCCAAATACAAATACAAGTTGGGACATCCGTAACTGTACCCTAAAAATATTCACTAATAATATCGAATCTAAAAGGAAAATAACTCAGCTTTACCTGTAGCTTCGAAACGGCAGCTGATTCAGATAATACAGCCAGATTTAAATGACCACCATTTCTCAACACTGGGACTAATGGCGTCTAAGAGGCCAAACGGTCCAACCAAAAGTGAAGTTAGATCACAGAGAATTGACAGAAGCGATGTTGACAGCGCGCGCTCCCACAGAGCGATACCAGGGTTGTGCCAAACAATAACAGGGTTATGCCCAGACATCATATATCATAATCAAAGACATATAACGAACTAAAAACGTTACAAGCTTGTCAAGAAAGGCCATCTCACACTTATCCACTCAGGAACGCGGAGCAAGATCTTTATCTACCTACCCCACGCTCAGAGTTAGTTCAAAGTTCAATATTATACAACTCGAAAAAAATGCACAATCACCTGCCATTTGAAATCAAATCCATAACATCATTTTTTTTCATTTCGCAAAGCATTGAACTCGTATTTACTAGACAAGGCTTTCTACGCCGTAAATGAATTATATTTGAATTGAAAATCGAATTTGATCTTGAAAACGCTGGTCTAATGTTTGCTATTGCTATATTTACTAATGACATCGAAATTAATTTATTTAGAGGTCATTGATATTTTGCTATAAACTGGCTGAATATTTTTGAATATTATTTTAATTTTTTTTGTTCTTTGACATTGTAAACATTTATATATGTTTATTTTAACAATAATACTGACAATATTATTTGTATAATGTTTTGTATTATCTTTTGTTTGTTTGTTTGTATACCTTGTTTTTTTTTTACTTTGTTTGTTAGTTTACCTTTGTCCACAAATTGAAAAATTTTTTGACAATAAAGGCATTTATTTATTTATTTATTGCTCCCCAAACCATTATTTTAGTGGGAAATTTTGAAACTCGAACGGTAACATTTTCTTTTGATATGATTTTTAGGTGGTTTCCACCAAGCTGAAAACAACTTTCGTCAGAAATAAAAACATTATTAAAATTATCTTCTTGAAAACGTTGACAAAAATCCATTCTTCGCTGCCTTAATGCAAATAATAAAATTACTGACGATTGCTGGATAAAATTGTAATATCCCTAGACTTTTCCGGTGTGTGTAGATGGTATAGTGGGAATCAACCTTAAGTAATACAATCTTGTCCTTACCTGAAATAAATGAGCCTTGTCCCAAATCAACCACACAAACCAGAAGCACAAAGTACGCGAGGATGTGATGCCGACGCGAATTTCCTACCATTCTCGCGAAAATTCCGAACATTCTGTCCCTCAGTCTTTCCCCATTTTCACAGGTCGTTTTTCCGAGACATTCGGTTGGAAAACCACCCTGTTAGACACGCATTCCGCGGGGTGCGATATCGTGGAAAATCCGGGAAATACATGGGGATGCTTTCCGGCTATCGCATTCTTTGCTGACAGATTGGGAAGGGGTGTGCTGTGGATCGATGATTTCTGTGTCTAGGAGGCTTTCTATCTGAAAAAAAGACAAAAGTGAATAAAATTAGAAGAATTTTGATTTTTAGATGTTGCCGCCGCCGTTTGCCGGTACTCATTTATTCGGTACTGAATCATTAGTAAACATATAAAGAATTCGTACCATTTTTTTGTTTCAGAAAATGTTGTTCAGACACTAGCAAGAGGAAAAACACGGTTCTTCTTGCAGGTGTGCAAGGGCAGCAACTAGAGTTTTAATCAAAGGGTAAGCGCTTACTATTATGTATTTATTAACTTTGTTGTTATTTGTATTTTACTATGTTAAATTTCAGTTCAAAATTAACTTTTAATCACCTGTGTAATAGTATTCTACCACACTATCGAAAAAAAAACGGCGTCAAAGACGGCTGAGAAATGACAATCGATGATAATTTTGGTTAGGTCAAGCCCTAGACAACTACTGGCAAATAGCCTTAAGAAGGTTGTCGTTTATTTTTATAATGAGTAAAAAATTCGAGAAAAAATATTCGATAAACAGATTAATGTGTCTGAAAATGTTCTATCTTTTTTTTAATTTGTCTATAACTAGTGTTAATTTTTAATAAATTACGTCAAGAAATTGACCTCATCAAAATTATCGATTGCCATTCCCCAGCCGTCTTCGACGCCGTTCTTTTTTCGACATACAGATTTTTTTTGTTCTAATTATAAAATCTCGAAATTTGGTCGTTTTTATCGATGCAGTTGAATTTATATATATTTTTTTAAATATTGTTACAAGAAATAAATATGCAAAATACATATATATTTTGTTTGTTAAAATTTATTTCGTATCTCTGTCGTTTGTAATTCTATCAACCAATAAACTAATATTCAATTATTATCTGTATCCAAAATAACATTTTAAATTGTCCAGCAGTTCAGCGTATTGTTACAAAGTTATATTTTCGATATTGCTTGCACACGTACCGCCTACACAAATTTAATTAATAATTTAATTACTTAACAAGTGTGCAAATGTTAATATTTAATTGAATTAAAACCGCTTTATTTATTTAGAGATTCAAATTTGCTAGAGATTATTGAAAAATGCTATTCAAATATTCAAAATTAAATATTGAATATATAGAACCTTTAAAAATCAAATACGCTGCTTCAAAAGAAAATTTATTTATTAAACTCTAAACAATTCACAAAATTAAATACCTATTATTATTCATTTTTTTTTGTAAAAAAAATCGTTTTTTTAAATTTAGGTACATGAGATAACGGTATACAGTAAAAGATGTCATTAAACATAAATAATTTAATATTGATTCAAAAGCCCAAAGTACTTATTTGAATTTATATTAAAAAATCGGAGGCATGCAGAAAATATAGTATCAGCCCAGCCCAAACAAGAAGCTGGAGATCTATATATTCTCTGGTTTTCCATTTTGTTTCCATACGTATCGAAGCAAAACATCCCCAACCAAAAGTACGAAAAAAGATTTATTGTTTCGGGGAGGTAAGGACTTTTGCATTAAAAGTTAAATCGGTTTTTCTTGAGATTGAATTGTGCCAGACTTATATTTTGTTGGAGAAAGCTTAATTTCAAACAGTTCGAGATTGTTTTTAAGATGGATTTGAGAGAAAGAGAATTGTTTATGGTTATTTATGCTTATGTATATTGTTTTTTTTTTAACAATAGCTTTACTCTTAAGGTGGGGGCAAAACTTAACACACAACGTGGAACGGGCCGCCTCAAAAACCTAAATTTAATCTAGAGCTCTAGTCTAAATTCGCCCTGTATATACGTATAAACTGGAAACAGTAAAATAAATTTAATTAAAGCACAGACAATAAAATACGCGATAACGAATTTTATGTTCCACTATTTCACCTATATTATTTCACAAGTTAAAACTTAAAACTCAGAATAACTGTAAAAAAAATTTAAACCTTACATTTTGGCGGATAATAAAAAATATGAAATATGATCCACAGACCGTTACTTTTTACACATTTGTTTATTTATTATTTTAATTTGAAATTTTTATTGGTATTGTTACGGACGAATGTAAAAATTTTGTTCGATAAAAATATTTATTAAAAACGATATAAAATTGATTTGATAGATGTTATAAAATAATATATTCTTTTTATTTACTACAGTAATAAAAAATATTGCGTTATACGCAATAAGTTTACGTTAGATATAATATACCCAGCCGGCATACAACATAGAATCTTGGGTTGGTTTTTACATGTATAGGATTGAATCTCTTGATATTTTGAAACATCCTGTATAGCATAGGAGGAATTTACGCTATCTTTCAATCGTATAAAGACAATAAATTTCAAATTGTATTCTGAAAAATATAAATTTAAAAAATTTAAAAGTTTACACATTTTTTTTCTGGATAAGCTTTTTTGGGACACTCTAAATTAGGTCATACTGATGATGAAATACGAGACGTCGTATTTTTTGCCGGATTTTCTCGAGATAAATTAGAACAGTAAGACGATTCTGTAATTATGAAACTTGGAGTGTCCCTAAAGGGACATAATTTTTTATTAAAATGAAAATTTTATGGGGCAACAGGAACATCTTAATGTCTTCTCGGACGCTTTTGCAACTAGACGTTTCCTTGGATGTCATTAATGCGGTAGTTAATTCTGAATTATTTTCACAGCATTATTTCCATACACGCGACACCATATTTATATTTCTTGTTTATTTTTTTTAAGAAATATACCTCGTGAAGCATCAAAAGTTTTTTCACAGACAAAGTTTTGTTTTTACTCAACAAATACAAGTAAAATTTAAAAAAAAATGTTTTGAATACTGTTCGACTTTGGACAAAGACTTGATATAACCCTTTTTCAAAATTTGACAACGCCATTGTTGGTGTAGTTTCAGAATCCTTATAAAAACAGAAAGAAAAAAGAAATATAAATACATATATCTATTTACCGCCAAAAGGATTCAGGAATTACATAAATAGATACATAAAATTTCCTACAAACCTTAAAATTTTCAAAATTTCATAACCAGATTCTGTATTTTCCTAAGACCTTAAAATCAGTTAAAAAAGACCAAAAACGGACAATGTTTCCGTGAAAACCGTGAAATTTTCAAAATTTTATATCCAGGTTTACTGTTTTTCTAAAAAGCCTTGAAAACGGTTAAAAAAAGGCCAAAAATGATTGTTAAAATTCTTAAAATATTCTCCCAACTATTTTAGGTTAGGTTTTCTGTAAATTGGGAATATAACGTCTACCAAATGTTATACAGGGTGGTCCGAACTGTATTCCGGAAACTTCGGCAGCATATTCTGCAGATAAAAATATGTAAATAAAATTCTTATAAATATATGTCCTAAAATGCTTAGTTTCGGTGATACAGGGTGTAGAAGTTTCATTTTTATTTCGATTTTTTCCAAATAATTTCTGAAGTAACGTCAATATTTGGATGAAAATTGGTGTCTGGGAGTTTTTTGATATGGGAAATTTGATTTTGATGTCAATATAACCTAATAATACATACAACTCTCCTACTCGTAGAGGGCGCCACCTACATATATTTTAACTGGTTTGAAAAGGTCTCTTGGTAAAAATTGCTACGAGTAATGGTTCTCGATTTATTTGGAACCAAAATTATCAATACCTGTCATCATTGACATAAATTAAACATGTTGACTAAATAGTTATTACACTGAAATTATAAATTTGAAATGTTTTTGAGTCAAAAGTTCAACAGAAGCTGCTTTATCGTCATTTTTTCAAAGATTTCCTCGACATGTTTATTTTTTGTCAATAATGACATGTATTAACTATTTCCATTCTAAATATACTTCCACACCCTGTATCTCCGAAGCTAAGCCATAACCAACATGAGATACAGGCCGGAGACATCGATTTGTGACGTCACCGCAATAGTCGGGCTTTTGAATTGTGCCATATGTTACTGCATATAGTTTTTGCATAAATAATAGTATTTATTGATAGTTTTGCCAGATATAAATATGAAAAATATTATACACAAAGGTATTAAAAAATAACATTAACTTTTTATCGCGTTAAAGTAATTGAAATAAACAACAGCATAAGATGAACAGAATAAAATCCAGATAATAAAAAGCATGTCCTAAAATTGCGTTAGCGAGTATTTAGCAGCTAGTAATAATATACCTTGATGATAAAGTTTCCAAATATTAAAAAATTTGAAAACTATACTTTATCGACAGGTTAAGAAAATGTATTGTATATGATAAGGGCAGAATACATTTTAAAGTTTAATTAAAAATAATTGTAAAAATTTGCCTAACATATTTAAAAAATGTCGATATCAAATACAATTAACTATTACCATAAAGTAATTTGTGGTTCGATATTCAAGTCACCATTTCCATAAATCGTAAATAAAAAGATAAACATTTTTTTATATAAAATACTGAAATAAAGTACAATTCATTTAATTTCTTTAAAATATATTGCCATTTCATAATAATAATAATAATTTTCAATATTTATTTCATCCTCAATTTCCAAATCTTGTTTTCTTTCATCGGGATGTTTTCTCTTTTATGGGAACATGCACAGTCATATAAGAGGGTTGATTTGGAAAAATTGTAGGCACAGCATCTTCTGTAGGTTTTGGACGTGACTTAGTTACAGTTCATATTGTTAGGAAAGATAATGTAGACAGATCCTGAGTACTTATTATAATTGCTGCTACAAGGCACAGACGCAGAACAATGTCGCGGCATTTTTTATTTCATAAAGTAAAAATAAAGAAACGACAACTGTTTTACCTAAAAATACACGTCAGTTACGTTGGTTTAACACTATACAGTAACACTAACGCTATTAATTAGGTTTTTATATAAATTACCCAACTTTTCCCTAGCCAGGACACACAGCCGGCATCGCCGGTGTTACTATAATTTTTACCGAAAGTATGGTTTTTTTGGTATGGTACGATGTTATGAATCGGATCTAGATAGTTCACTATTCACTCAAAATTATTTAGTATAATTTTATTAGCATAGAAACGCG